CCTAGATCGCGCCGTCAGATTTCCGATGCAACTTCTTAAGTTACCGGGATCTCGACGCCGAGGGCCACCGACGTCTCGTAGCACCAGCAGCGCGGAACGTTCCGGAGCGTGTAGCCGCCGCCACCAATGATCAGCGTCGGGATGTTGAACGACCTGACGTAGGCGACCGCAGCGCCGTGGCCCTTGACACTGAGGTTGAAGCAGCCGAGGCGGTCGCCCGAGAGCGAGTCGGCGCCGCACTGGAGCACGATCGCCCCCGGCGCGTAGTGCTCCATGACCTTGGAGATGACCTACGCAGATCGTGATGATGCGCAAGCTTCTGGCAGCATATATCCTACGTCGCGGAAGACGCCAATGAAGCTCTCGTCGTCCATGCCATCATGACACGGCACGTTCACGGCGTAGTTCTTGCCCTCGCCGTACCCAATGTCCTATGCATGATAAATAAGACCACCCATCCGGTGACAGCATCTACCTTGACGTTGCCCGTGCACGGGAAGAAGACGCCGCCGTACTTGTGGAACGAGACGGTCATGACGCGGTTGGTCGTGTAGAAGGCCTCTTCGACGCCGTCGCCGTGGTGGACGTCGATGTCAATGTACAGCACCCGTGCGTGTTCCCTGTTGATGTACGCGTCAGCGATTGCTACATGGGCGACGCTTGCGTCATCATCCCGACGTACTTGAGAAGTTCGAGGATCCCAAGGTTGCAGTCGTTGACGAAGCAAAAGCCAGAGGCCTCCGAGCGCTTCGCGTGGTGCATGCCGCCGCCCCAGTTGATGGCAATGTCGGCGCTCTTGTCGTTGAGGCGCGCGGCGCCGCCGATCGAGCCCGTCGCGGCGATCTGGCAAAACTCAAACATGCCATCAAAGACGGGGCAGTCGCCGCCGTCGTTGAACGCGAACCGCTGCAGCTGGCGGTAGTGCTCGTGCATATTGTCGGGCGTGACCGTGCGCAAAAACTGAATGTAGTCGTCCGAGTGGAAGCGCGTGAGGTCCTCAACCCCAACCAGCGGCGGCCGCTACATGGTCGTTCAATGAGTTCTATGAGGAGGACGTCAAGGCAGCGTACGAAGACATGCATGTGCTTGGCGAGGCCGTAGTTGACAATCAGGTTGTGCGTGATGCGCACGCGGTGCGGCTACATGCCGTCGAGGTGTGAGGCGGCGAAGTACAGTATTGGTACCTTCCAGCAGTGCCCGGGCCCGTAGCTGAAGTTGCCAATCTCCGCTAAACACACGCCATGAGCGCCTTCAGCAAAGAGGCGGATGACGCACAGTCGTAGAAGTACGAGACGCGCTTCTTGGGCGTGCCCAGCGCATCGGCGAGCGCAAGCGGCCCCATGGCTCGCAACTTGGTGAATGAGCTGGAAGCCTGACCGCGGGTGTATCGATTGTCACAGTATGGGACATAGTATGCGTTCTCAGAGGTTGAAACTTCCAGTGCCCAATTTGCCACGAGCAGCCCACGCGCCGACCGTCGAGCAGCCGTAGCTTCCGGAGCAGGAGACGAGGACGAGCGTCGAGATGGACGAGGAGGATACATGCAGCATGAGAGCGCGATGGCGTGCGGTCGCTGGGGTGGGCGGCCCATCGCCAGTGCGGTTGCTGGGGTGGGTGGCCCATCGCCTGCGTCGGACGACGATCAAGAGGTACTAGATCATGGCCACACACGACAGACGGCTAACGAGAGGTTCGATGGTCGGACGTTTACGTTAGAGCCAAGCTGTGGCGTTGCACAATCCCTCCTCGGCGGACGAGGGCGTTCGCACAGAGGTAGCGACTATATATCTGTCTTCTGCATTGGAGTCAGGTAGAGTCTTTCCTACTCGTGTTGCGTGTTTCGATGCGTAGCCACGTTGGCATGCGCTCTACGAGTCCAGTGAGAGAAGCGACGCAGGCTCTCAATTGGGTCGACTTGTTCAACGCAACTCTAGATCAGAGGCGTGTCGCTACGAAGCTGCGACTCGAGCCAACTGCACGCTCACCCTCCAGCGCTGGAAGCCCGATGATCGGACCAACTGTGGCGCGACGGGTCTCAACGACTTGAACGAAGTACTATAGTAGCTAGCCAAGTTAAGCCAAGTTAAGCCAAGTTAGCCAAGTTAGCAAAGCAACATCGGCAGAGCCAGCAACCGACGCGAGTCGACTGCAGGTCTTAAAGGTGCATCGCGCTGTCAG